CTACTGTTATGGTAGGTTCAGCGTAATGTCCTGGCTGCCTTTCAAACTCGTACAATAATGAGGCTTGGTCGTCATCTCGGATAGGACATGCAAGAACTGTTCCGGGTCGTTGACATACATCGGCCTCGAACAAGGTTCGCTTCAGGAGCGGCCGATGTTTAAAACCTGAATATGCTATGTTATCGATACTGTCGATCATCGGAGATACGGTAGACCAGGCATCCCTGTTGCCATGCGAGCGAAACCTGGTATGGGTATTTGATGTCCATGTTTGGCTCCGAGTTCATCATTCCAGTGAGGATGGACTCGTAAACAGCGACCTCGTTAGATCCGTCACCGGGCCAAGTGTCAATGATTCTTACAGAGGTAGAAGTCTTTCAATTCGGAGTCGAGAGCAAGTGCAGTAGCCCAATCAAATCTCGGTAAGTTGTGCGTGATGTTTGTGGAAAGAGGACGATAGTGAGGTTGGCATTCGGGTTTGATGATGAGCATGGCAACGGCTAATTTTAGGGGCTGACCACCGATGCTTTCAACTGGTGCAACGCCATCGGCACCCCTCACCCGCGCAAACAACAGCTGACTAATGTTCAATGCTGCCTCTCTATACTCATCATTTATGTTACAATTGCATCACAGAGTCGAAGAATTACGTCACACAGATTGACCTCGATCGTTCTAACTGGTCGATTTGGGAGCAACATTTTGTCATCCACTTAGTTTAACTTCTCTGGACAGCCTTATACCTGCTTACATTACAAAGCGATAACGACCTGGCATAAGAACTATCTCGCACGAAGTCGTAGTATACAGGGCAGACATGTCTGAAGAGCGACAATCAGCCAACGCAATCAGATTCTACGAAGGCAGATCCGGTGACTACGACGATACCTGGCACAAGAATTTCACTCAACGATTTAGCTCATACCTGAACATACAAGAAGGCCAAGATGTACTGGACCTTGCCTGCGGAACCGGGTTACTGACCCTCATTGAGGCGGAGAAAGTAGGCCCATCGGGAACCGTGGTCGGCGTCGATGTTACGCCGGGCATGCTTGCTATAGCAGCACAGAAGAAAGAACAAGGTGGCGACAAATACTCCAATGTGAGCCTCTACAAAGGCGATGTGCTTCATCTAGATGAGACGGACGAATTGAAGGGTAGGACATTCGACTTGATCACAGTTGCCTCCGCTCTGGTTTTATTTCCAGATCCCAAAGCAGCGATTGAGCATTGGTCAACATACTTGAAGCCTGGAGGTGTGCTTGCGGTGGATGCGACGCATCCAAGGAACCTCGTTTCTGGTATGGTACTGGAGAGAGTGGCTCGACGTCTAGACCTACCGATTCCATACAATCGTTCGTGGAGTCGTTCGCAATATGCGCTCCGTCGTCTTCTTGAAAATGCTGGCCTCGAGGTAGAGAGTGTCCAGACTGTCCATAACCAAGCTGGGTATGGCAAACGAAACTATGATATCGATAAATGGGACGACTTCTTCGTTGAGAACGTCATCGTTAAGGATGTAGCACGAACTTTTGCGAGCAACGACATTCGGAGAAAGGCCCAAGGCATATACAAGGAAGAATGGGAGAAGTTAGCTATAGACGGCAAGGTCGAAGAGGTGGACGCGGTCTTTCTGGGTATTGCACGTAAATGTGAGTCATCCTGGGTTGCCCTTGACTATGATCGAGCTAAAGGCATTGTAGCAGCGGATGGTTCGAGATATGTCTCGAAAAGAGCCGATGATGATGTGGTTTTTAGAGGTGGGTGTCGCTGCGGTGGAGTCAAGTACACATCGAGTGTACCGCCTTCGGACATTACGCTCTGCCATTGTCGCGCATGTCAACAATTGTCGGGCTCGGTATATCTTCCGTTCATTTCGTTCTCAAACACCGCCTTGAGCTACACCGAGTCGACCACCCTCAAGACGCTGAGATTGTCAAAAGTCGCAGAACGGACATATTGCTCAAGCTGTGGCACTCCTATATCCATGGCGTACTCGTTCTATCCGGACGAAGTCAGCGTAACCATGGGCTCTGTGGATCTATCGTCGTTCACGTGCGACATTCCGAAGGTGAAGAACCATATCTACCTTCGCGAAAAAGCGCCGTGGTTCGTGCTACCTGACGATGGGGCTGATCGGTGGGGTACGGCAGAGTTCGCACATCTGATCGAGGGGGTAAAGCAAGATTGAGATGGGGAATCAGGATATTCAAACCAATATCGAAGCGTAGCGACCGCACAACGTCCTTGAACTCTGAAGCACGGTCGAGCAACATCTGTAGAGTGCACCAGTATAGATAACCTGGACACCACCGATAGGCAGCGCCATGACTTGCGCAATGAAATGAAGACGGAGAATTGCAGTCGACGCGCTACTTGCATCCTATTCAATAATGGGCCTATCGGCGTAATAGAGCGACAAGTTGGTATTGCGGTGAGCTGTTGATGACGAGGCGCCTGCCACGCCAACCCCAGCCTCACCAAAATCTTGCTTCCCAGCCACCCCACCAACCACATGTTTCACAACATCTGTTGTGATCAAAACCTCGCAGTGCTCGTGCTGTCAAGTTCTGTTCCCACAGCCTTTTGACATTCTGCAGCAAATTGTCCCACGACATTGTCTGCTGACTTTCGTCTGACCCTCTCTCCACTGACCGCCTGGTTTCATACCCTGCGCTAGAACCCCTCGGACCCTGTTGTCCAGGTTGGCCCGGCTACCACACGCTCCTCTTAACACCAGGGAGATTTGTTAACGTTTCACGGCTTCATTTCAACTGCTTTATTGGTATTCTGTTCGGAGCAGGACCAGAATCCTCGCTACCCGACTTTCGCATCCCGACCGATAGCCTAGCCGTAGCAGGCATGCATCAGCGCAACATGAGCCGCAATGGACCCCTCGCCGCACCCCAGGCTTCACACTACTCGCCACGCGGTGACACACGACAACCTCAATCTACTCACAACGCAAGCTCCACATCTTTTGCCGATGACAGCTTCGACGACGTGGACATTGCCAACGACATTGTACGACCACCACCTTCCGCGCTGACCTCGAGGGCTACTACCGCATACGACCCACACGCACCTTCTCCTCTCGAGGACTACCCAAACTCTGCTCGCGCAGCCCACCAGCGCACCTTGACTGGAACGCTTATCGACAACTGCCAGCCCTTCATCAACCGCGCGTCAACTACATTACAGCAACATACTTCGAAAGCATCATTCCATTCACCAACCAAGTCGCTTGCCAGCTTCATACCTTCACGTGGCGCCACTGAGTCGAATGCTTCGCAGCCAAAGATTCGTGCACTGCAAAACTGGTTCAACGGATCTTCTGCGCCTGTAAAGCTCGGCGTGTCCCCACAAAGTGAATACTCCGAGTCTGAAGCAGGATCTGAATCAGGGTCTGAATCAGAGCCTGGAGAGGAGTTCTACTCCTCAGACGAAGAAGAGAGCGAAGGCGAAGAAGACGGGCGTGGAAACATGATGGCCAACCTCTTCAACCGCGGTTCTTCACTCACACGCGGATCCGAGAGTCCCACCAGACGACCAGAGGAGACTACGCCTACTAAAGCACAGCAACCAACTGCGGGCAGCAAGTTTGCGTGGCTGCTGTCGACCCAGAAAAATGCAGCTATCCCTCCTCCATCTCAGTCACCCGCATACCACAATGCAGATGACGAGCTTCTGAATATCAACATTGCCCAGGCGCTTTTTCCCCACGGACCAGCTGACCCTCTCGCACCCTCCTCGTTCAACGACCTCCTCGCCAATGCCGAGAGGCTCCTCTCTCGGTATCAGACATCATACCGTCAGCTATCGACCGCACTTGTAGACGCCCGGTCTGAACAAAGTGCGCAGGAGGACGAGCTCGACGAGGCAGACACAAGGGTGAGACACCTGAAGATGCAGCTCGAGACGATGGCAGCGCGCGCGACGGAGCAGGATGAGCAGATGCGCAAGATGGCCGAGGACCTCGCATTCGAGCGACACGCCAGGCAAGAAGAGGAGGCGGCACGCAAACGCAGTTTAGCGCTGGTCCGCAGCCAACCACAGTGTGAGCATGTTGCATGCGTAGACACCACACCTCGAAGGCGAAACCGTATCTCGAACTCTGAGATTAGTGTAGACTCCGGCTTCGAGTCGGAGTGTGAGACTGATGCTGCGAGCGTCTTCTCGAGGAATTGCATGAGCCCTACCGGTACCGACATGTCGTCTATGCTGGAAGTCGATGTCGACAGCACGCCCAAGGGTCGGAGGCCTCCGCCGGTCGAGCGCAAAAGCACCTACGAAAAGGTCCGTGACGGCACTGTCAACCTCGAGAAGGGTGGCTGGGGTTGCGCCAACTGCGAGGGCGGTGCACAAGCCGCTGTCTGGGGTCGTCTGGCCAAAGAGCGCGAGGAGAACCGCACTCTGAGGCACAGGGTGGAGCAGCTTGAGGATGCTGTGGAGGGCGCTCTTAATGTTGTTGATGGGCCCTGGGGGCTGTGAGTCTGTACATACTTCGATTCAAAGTACAATATTTGGGAATATTTTTGATGGACATTAGCGCATAGCATTGGGAAAGGTATATCATGGTTAGGACTGAGGTCAGGTAGAACGACGTCTATCATCGTATCAAGATTTGGCATCGTTAATTTCTACATCCACATGAGCAATAGAATCAAGTCCGTCTGCCAAACAGTACCTCTTTGAGTAGTTCCCACCGTGCAAACATGCTATACAAGCAACACAACCTCGTTCTGCTCTCTGAACAATGATAAAGTGACAGACTATGTGAGCTACATTTTGACAGCTGTCTAGTCTTTGAGTTCCTCTTCAAATAAACTTTAAGCTTATTGTTGCGCGTGCTGGACCCTGGTTTCCACATGCCAAAAACAAGGCCCGAGCGCCACGAGCTCGCTTATCTGCCCCGATTTGGATCATCCCATCTCGCAGCAACAAAAACGAATCCATCCACCACAAACGTAAATCGATGCAAAACCGCAAAAAGAAAACAATGCATCGGCCGGGAATCGAACCCGGGGCTAGCCGATATGATCCAATTGGATGGCAACGGCTAATTTTACCACTAAACCACCGATGCGTGATCTGATTTGATGGTGTCTTGAATTTTGGATGGAATATAAACTGCCAGTAAGATAAAAGTTGCTGGGTGAGGCCTCTGCAAGTGCTGGGAACGGTGATCGCTCCGTGAGACGGCACGAGTCTCTCCCTGTTCAATCAGAAAATTCTTCCAAAAACGCCCCGCTACTTGTCCTTGCGTGGCTAGAACTTCTCACGTGGCGACGCTAGCTGATGCATTGACGATCACCTCAACGAAATCCATGTTATGTGCTGTTTTTGACACTCATATATGTTGCGAACGGTGAGCTTGAGACATGGAGTGACAGCGTGGTTGTAGTCCACTGGCTGTTGATTTCTTTCAACCAAACGCTGCTGGCTTCTATCTACGTGTCTGGGCCAACAAGGACGAAAGTTACTGCTACCTCATGTATGTAACACTGATTACGGTCGTGATGACTGCTCGAGAACATGCATGATGTATAATTGTACTTGCCATGATACATTGCAGCGACACGGGTCAGTAGGCCTTCGAATGACAAGCTGGCAAAAGATGATGAGTTCATGCGGTGACGCTGTCTATAAAGCTCTCACGAACCCTGAACTGAGTCTGTACCATTTTTGGCTGAAGATCTCTAAGGGTGAGGGTATCACGGGCTTTACAATCTGTTGCTAGGTATATCAAGAAAGAACAAATCTATACCATTGTGACTACCTTTCTATACATCCAGAAGTGATGGGACTAAAGATTTGCCTTTTTTCATCTACCCAAAGAGCTATTCTGAATTAACTATCATATAAACTTCAAACTCTATATGAAATCATGTCACAAGTTTCTCAACCAACTTGGCCTGAGCCTGAGCGCCCAAGGCTGCAATATCATCTGCCCTGACAATCTCCAGTACTGTCAACTCCACACCGATGTTTGCCCTGATCCAGTTCCTCAACTCGATACTGATCAGCGAATCAATACCAATCGTTGCCAGCGGAGCGTGCAGATCCACCTCCTCCTCGTCCTGCATCAAGAAGCCAAACAACGTCTTGCCAATCGCCTGCGCCAGTAGTTCCGCCGATTCGGGCGCCTTGAGCAGCGTCGAGTTGCTGACAATGTCCTTGAGGAAGGTTGTCAAGGCGCCATTGCCTGAGTCTGCAGTGGCCGTTTCCTGGCGCTCGAGGTTGCGGTAGATGGTCATGCGGCGGTCTTTCCGCCAGATGCAGCGGTTGTTGGGCGCTGTGATGGGCAGTACAGATCGGTATCCGATGGCAATTTGGCTGGGGTTGGCGTAGCGGGGAAGCTCATCGGTATCGCCATCGCGCTTGCGCTTGAGGGGCTTGGGTTGCGAGCGGCTCATACACAGCTCAATGCTCTCGAGTAGCTCGCGTTCCTGAATGAGATATTGACCTGTGGCGCGCAGCGTGTCGAGCATGCTGGGGTTCTCAGCGACGTAGCCGACATCTTCGATGACACCAACGTCGAGGGAGGAGGCGGGCAGGCCGACTGAATGTCGATACTGGATAAAGGCATCGAGGAAGCAGTTTCCGGCGTTGTAATTGGCTTGGCCCCAGTTACCCATGGTTGACCCGGCGGAACTGAAAGTAAAGAAAATATCGACGGAGTCCTTGTGACTCTCTAAAGCTCTGTGAAGGTTGAGAGTTCCTTGGACCTTTGGCAACATTGCGTATTGCCATTGTTCGAAGGTCATGTCGGCGAGGGAGACGTCTGCAAGAGCCATGGCAGCTTGCAGGACACCACCAATCGGTTTATCGATCGAGTTGACTGCCTTGAGAACATCGTCGTAGTTGCAGACATCAGCAGCAAAGGTGGTTGCGTTGCATCCCTGAGCTGCCAACTCATGCAAGAAAATCTGCGTCTTGGGGTCCTTGCCTGCAGACCTGGACAAGAAAACAATCCGTCTTGCTCCTCTTTCTACAAGCCAGCTTGCAACAGCTCTTCCGATACCACCCAGCCCACCAACAAACAAATACGCTTTTTCGGGGCTCAGTCTCAACTCCCCACGTACCTTCTCCAGTGGCAGAGTTTCAGTATTCTCAGGCATCTTGACAACGACCTTACCGATATGCGTGCCTCTCTGTAGGTAGCGCATGGCCTCGCCTATCTGGGCAGCTGGGAACTCATGAATGGGAGTTATGGGTTTGATATGACCTTCAGCGTTGTAGCGCAAAGCGCGCTCCATGAGACTGAAATCCTGTCAGGGAGATACTCTTTCTACACCAGCGGAATTACTCACCTCATCATGACAGCCTGTTTCTTTGCCGCAATAGTCGACAGATCGAAACCGACAAAAGTGCGGTTTCCATCAAACAACTCCATGCCCAATTGCCCGTGGCCGATGAAGTCACGGCGACCAATCTCCACCATGATACCAAACTCGGCGACACACTTCCAGGAAGCATGAAGCAGCTCACCAGACAAAGAATTCAGTACGACGTCTACTCCGCGGCCTTCCGTCTTAGCCAAGATGCCAGACACGAAATTTGCGTCCCGGGAGTTGAAGATATGGTCTTCCTTGATGCCGTATGTCTGATTCAAAAAGTCGATCTTCTCTTGGGTGCTAACTGTGCAGTAGATCTAGCGATGGCGTTCATTAGCGCATGCGTCAAGGGTGCAATTAGGCTTCGTACCTCTGCTCCAATCATTTTTGCAATCTGGATAGCTGCTATGCCAACACCGCCAGCCGCAGACTGGATAAGAATTGACTAGACGCACATCAGTCATCGTTTGTCACTAGAAGTGGTATCAGACAGGGAATCTTACCTTGCTTGAGTCCAACCTCGCAAGATCTTGCAGAGCATAGAGCGCGGTGCAAACAACGACAGGCATAGTCGCCGCCTCCTCATCGCTCAGGGACGCTGTCTCAGGGATCTTCACACAAAGTTTCTCATTCAATACCATGCTCGTCGTGAACGACCCGGTCTTACACCCAATAACACGGTCTCCGACCTTCAGAGAAGAGACGCTGGAGCCCACATGCGTAACGACGCTGCAGCTTTCCAGTCCAAGACCGTCGCCTATTGCAGGAAGATCCGTGATGATACCCATGGCAATCAAGACATCCTTGAAGTTGAGCCCAACGGCTTTGACTTCACATCTCACGTCGTTCGGGCCCAGGCTCGGGAGCCCGAGCTCTTCCCATGCGAGCGTGCTCAGAACACCAGGCTTGATGATGGCAAGCTTTTTGGTGGACACCTCGGGCGTGACAGTAGTATTTTTCATACCCTCAGCGACATCGATGAAGTGGTAACGACTCACCATCACCTTGCCGTTGTCGTATGCCCACTCCACGTCAGGCGTCATGCTCTCCTCATGAGAGCGTTGCGCAAACTCTGCGTATACCTCCGCCACGGTCGCCAGAGTACTTTCATCAAACGAGTCCAGTTCGAATGTGCCGAAGTCCATTTGTCTCTCTGTGCGGCACACACGAGAAACACCGGTGATGAGGGCATACTTTGGCTCGGTGCAGTTCACCTGGCAAGCCCCAGTTACCCACAGGATGCCATTGTGTTTCTCAGAAGTCCCCTTTACGCGATCCACGACCGTGACAAACCATAGGAATTCTTTTTCGTTTGCCGAGTACAAGAACGGATGGTCCAGATCGAGCAACGAGATAGCATCTTGCTCTTTCGCTGGTATCTGCCCGACTTTACAGAAGTCGAGCTCGAAGCCCTTGCCTTGTAAGCCCCTGGCAATGGTCTGCACCTTGGGCGCGTTCGAGTCTACGCACAGCACTGTGATGCGTCGCGATGAAAGAGCTGGGCGCGTGGGCATGGCGATAATGTTGTTATCGAGGTAGCCGTCGTGATGGACAGAGTCAATACCATCAAAACCTGCACCACGAAGTTCCTTCTCCCATCTCTCAGCAGGAATGTAAGGCTCATCAGGTCTTCCGTCCGCAGCGCCCAGCCACCATCCAGAGAGGACGCCCATGACGAAGTTGATCCATTTGCTCACGGGGTCAAGCTCCTGCAGGAAGAGGCGACCGCGAGGGTGCAGCAATTTATGGCAGTTGGAAAGAGTCTCGTGGATGCTGGGCGTGGCGTGCAGGACGTTAGTGGCAATGATCATGTCGAAAGAGTTGGCCTCGAAGCCCTGCTCGAGCGGGTCCTTCGAAATATCCAACACGGCATACTCCATGCCTGGGTACTCCTTGAATCGTTCCCTGGCCTGTATGAAGAAGCCAGATGAGATGTCAGTGTAGGTGTAAGAGAAGTACGTGCGCTCTCCGTATTGTGACTTCAAGAACGGCAGCAAGGTGTTGGTAGTACCACCAGTTCCGGCACCGATCTCGAGAATGCGCAAAGTTGGTGTCTTGTGGGACAGGAGGTCGATGAAAGACGTGTATTTCGAATTTTGCATCTGCATGAAGTCGTAGAGCTGCGTGAGAATACCATCGTCCATGAGAAGGTCAAGAGGGTCAACATCAGCTTCGAAGATACCCCTACATTTGTTGAGGATACGCATGATAGCAGTGGCACCAGCTTTAGCTGTAGTGCCCTGCAGCCAGTCATGTAACTCAACCATGACTTGATTTCGCTGGGGAGAGTCGAGCCTCGCAAGTGCGGGATCAATACTGGCGTTGACTTTCTTTAGCCAATTGAAGAAGATGTTCAAATGGCCTTGTTCGGTAGTCTGACCCTCCAGCCGCTCCTCTGCTTCTAGCATGGCAAGTGCACCAAGTTTGTCGAGGTTATTGTGGATTTCTCCACGCTCCATGGAGATGCTGAAGAGATCCGAGGCTTTCATGAAGGTCAAGTCAGGTTTCCATTCGAGTTCAGTGGCGGCATGGAGATCGTTGAAGCCTTTGTTGTCATCCGTTTTCCCGTCACCCAATGGGGAAGTCTGCAGTGTTGTGAGTTGAACGACCGTATTGCCTTCGGTATCAATTGCTACGACGTCTCCCGACATTGCTCCACCCTTTGCTGGGAAGTCGGCGGTCGCTTGGACGGTCATCTCTCCAACTGGTGGGCGCACGTAAAGCTCTTCAATATACGTGGGCACAGCCA